GCTAGCCTTTGCTCAAAAGTTCAATTACGAAAGACAATCAAAAGAATTATCCACGCGACTTGCTTGGCCTACCTGGCATGTAACAAACACGAAAGGTTTCAGGCTTTCGTGAGAACTACGTTCGTTGCGTTTTGATTAGAACCCTGACTTGTTTGACAGAATTAAAGGTTGGATAACAGAAAGAAGTCAGGCAAATATTTATGAAGTTCGTGCGACAAAAATGTTCAATGAATTCAGGAAAGTGTTGAACAGAATAAAAAAAAAACCGAATGGATGACTGAAGGGCTTGAATGGTTCATGCTGGAACCCCACCATAGCCTGGTCATTGCCCACTCTTTCAACGAGTGTTTTTCATCATCGACGGTACGTGGTGTAAATTGCCTTACCAATTTGTAGGATTTTCTCACCTTTTCCTTTTCACTGAAACTAACAATATGAACAGTCAGTTGTTACTTTCCTGATGATGAAAAGTACTTTGTTCTCGTGTGGCAGCAGAATACCCGGATGTCTTGCCCTCACTTACTCGCTCGCTGTCCGTGATGAGGCAGAAATATAACTGTAGAGGTTACCCACACTTTCACGCACACTTTCACGCACACGCACAAGTCTTCGTGTTACGTCCTTGATTATCAAAGGAGCTCATCTCTTGTCGTGACAGCGTGACTGTAAGTTCTGTTCGACTTCTCCAGTCATGTTGCAAATAGTTTGACAAATTTGTTGTGGTATTCTTATTAGGTTTAACAGGGAGCCGGGTAGAGGTAGCTATACTGACCTTGTTTATGTAAAGCCGTATCACCGGAACGCACCTTACCTCGTGGGCATTGCCCTGGGCTACTTGATTCATATAAAAAAAAAAAGAATCCGGGAAAAAAACCCGTTGGTAAGTAGCCGGGGTCGAGGAAGAAATTACATTGTAGATGACAACGCAAAAGGTGTAAAGAAGAATCTTAACATACTAGCTGTAAAAAAAACCTAATAGAAGAATGAACTTCCCATATGTATTTATCAGAACCATAGAGAGCGCATTTCGATTGGCTAACGTTGAACCAGAACCGAAGTAATCTCAATAGCCAAGCAGAAGAAAGGAGAGCTTCAGAAGGAGCCAATAAGAACTTCACGTAAAAAACAAGCAAACTGCTTGAAGCGCGGGAAAATACGAGTAACTAAATCGCCGTTGGTTTTCATTTTGGATCTGATTGCTTGAAAAAGTCACGCAAGTTCTTTGGACCAATCACGGCGATATGAAAGAAAACTTAAGTAGTGCCGGTTAGTTTCGACACTAAAATCTCGTAAAAATTAGAAAAGAACTTAACTGCTGCTTTCAAATTATCTCATGTTGTTTTGTCATGTCTTTCACAGCAAGATTCCAAGACAGGTAGAATGCCTTGTTGGTTGGTTTCTCGGTATTGCACTGGTTGTTTCAGCTGTATACAGTGTGTATACATCTTACAAAGAAGACAGCCGACCTTTCAACAAGGCTGAGAATATCATTTATGGCACCTTCAGACACTTTGTTTGGGGTCTGGCCCTCGCTGCGTTATCTATGCGTGTAACAAGGGTTATGGAAGTAAGTGTCTCACATGTTTTCCAATCATCAAAAATGCAGCGCTGTTTAAATAAGTCACTTTAGCAATAATCAAATAAATTTGAGAATATATTGAAGGTCTAGAAATGAGTAAACGAGTCAAGAGAATCAGAAGGAAGTCACGGTACTGAGAAACAATTGGTAAAGCAAACTCGCGAGTTTTAGCATTGACAGGGATATATATTCATAATTCATTCTATTAATAATTTGTATCTGTAAATGTCAGTTGATATCGTTTACGTTATCTACACCAAGTCATGGCCATACCACCTAAAGAAATACGATAAAGATGAAACTTAGAGACAAATATAAGTGGTTTCTATTATTCAAACAAATAGAGAATTAAAGTTGTTTTTCTCAAAGCGTTTTCCGTCGGATAAAACACAGATTGAGTTGTAGTTGACTGACTGACTAAATGATCAACTGACGAACGGGGGGACGGACTGACTGATTTGATTATTTAAATCTCATATGAAGGTTTGGTGAACAAGTTTCTGTCAGCATCCTACTGGATTCCCCAAAGCCGTTTGACTTACGGTGCGTACCTTCTTCATGCAATCGTTCTCATCGTCTATTTTGGGTCTTTCCAACACGCCACGGAGTACAGCGATAAAAATCTCGTAAGTCGTGTTCAACTGCATGCCTTATATCAGAATGAGACCTTGAAATGATATTATTCCCAGGTGTCCAAAATGTGGGCTTCTTAAAGTGGGAACATATTGTCCGAGTAATGTTGGGCCGAACGAGGAAACATTTTGCTGATGGCGCTAGGTCCACTCATCTTGACCTCGAGCCAAATGTTTTCCCGTCTGCCCGGACATAACTCGTTCAATAACCACTTAATAATATGAGCGCCGCTCTTTCTCAGACCACCTTTCTTCTCTCAGCTCGCTTCTTACGAGGTGGTAGGGATTTTTTTTGGTTAACGGCTCTCAAGTAGAGATTCTGTATTGTGTTTCAGTAAAAGAACGGTCAGGGCCCGACAGCTAACGATAAGAAAAGACTTCTTGAGAGCCACCATTCAAGTCGTTTCTAACTGAAACGAATACCATTCACTTTATGCGTTTCTTTTGGTTAAAAACATACAAGATTTAAAACGAAAACTCAACAAAAATCTCGTCCAAAACAGCTTGAAGTGTCAGCTAATCGCAAACTTTTTATTTTCAGGCATTTTATTATGTTGATGTGGTAGCCATGTCGTACGCAGCAGCTTCATTCTCGCCATCGGCGTGGAATTTCCCACAATGCAGTTAGAAAATGTGTAGTTCTTCCGACGCACGAAGTCACGGGACTGACACGTGCTACTGCCAACCAACCGGGTTTGAAGAACGTGGATGTGTAGATGGTTATTGGACGTTATTTTTTCATTTGATCAGGGTT